ATATATATATATATATATATATATATATATATATATATATAATGAATTTTTTCAGCAAAGAAGTGTCAATAGACAAGTCGCTCATTTTGAACCTCCTTTTTCACTCGATTACATTACATTTACAAGATCATAACTTTTTTTTATAATATAATATAGTATATAGTGAACCCTTTCTAAAAGTTTTTTCTCCCTCACCGGCCCACCCACTCATACCGCAAAAGAAATATAAATCAATTACAACTCTTGAATGTGTGTATATAATATGTGGAGAGAGAAAGAGAGAGGTACTAACAAAATGCAAGAAGAAAGAAAAGAATGATATGAGCAAACTTTGCCTCCATTTTCTTTTAGTTGTAAAGAGTAGAAGGAATTGAGTGATCTTTTATGAGTTGTATCACATAAATTTATAGGCAAAGGTTGTCTTCATCAGAGGCAGAGTCGGGATTTTCAATAAAGGATTTAAAATATGTAAAAATAAACACATGAAGTAATTGAAAAAAAATTTGACATTTACTAAATATGCATATAAAATTATTTTAACAATATATAAATAATATAATTTTCTGTCAAAAAAGATTTACACCAGATATCTCTGTCACCGTCCTTCATTGTAGTGAAGTACTGCATACTAGTGGTGTCTAACAACCACATGTTGAACAATTGGATAAGAGTGATGCGACATTTAATTTTATAGTTATTTATAAAAGAGGAACAATTTTATGAGCTTTTGGGTTATCCAACTAAAGTAGCTCGAAATTTTAAAAGAGATACTTTTTTCATTAAAATATCAATAAAATTGTCTCAAAATATATGGGGAAACAAAAGAAAATTCATTAATTTATTTTGTAATTTGGCTTCTTTATTTTATCACAAGGCTAGCTAGACTTTGTAATCTTCTCAATTGTGTACCATTATTTTTATTGATGTATAAGAAAATTTCATATACGTTTTTGGAGTTTAATTTATATAAATATATATATATATATATATATATATATATAAATTTTATCTAGCAAAAAATGGGGAAATTTCAGAAAATGACATGACACGTTTTATTTATGTTCTCAAAGTCTTTTTCAATGACAAGGAAATAACAATATAAAATGAAAATTAAAAAGATTTACAAGCAAAAATAGAGATGCTATGGTCCCTAGCTATGAATTCATGAATCATTTTGTAAGTAATAAGGACATGATTTAGGAGTTAAATGTTATAATTCTAAATTTTACGACAACGAATTCAAATAATAATACATAAGTTTCAAATTTTACTTTAAACATATACATTTATTGAATTTCAAGATAAATATAAGATTTATGATAAATCTATTAAATTTGACTTCGATTAAATTTTTTAAATAAAATCAGGTAAAATATTGAGAAGAAGTCATATGTCCATAAGTTAATTTTAACTTTATACAAAACTCGAAAAATTAAAGATAAAAGTGTATACAATCTTTAAAGTATAAAGGAGGGTTTAACATATCATTTGTAATAGTTCGAAAGTATATTTATCATTTCTTCATTAAAAATATAATAAACAAAATCATTCTTATTGTTTTTACAGCACTAATAAGTCTCATTGTTTATCAAGTTTGTGCTTGAAATAAGAAAAACAAAAGGAGAAAAAGAAAGGGATGCTTTTTTTTTATATATAAAAGAAAAAAACTATGGTCCCTATAGAATGGTTTTATTCATTTGTCATTTTGTGAGAATATAAAACATATAAAAATGTGGTTTATAATTATAGTTACTTGATATATTGTTTCTAATTATTATACCTTTCGACCATGCATGCATTTACGTATATTCTTTATGTTCACAATTTTCGCTCATCTAGATTCAATCGTACTATTTTCTTTGCTAAAAAATAAGTATTATTTAAGTAAAAATCATACTTATTAAAAAATTAATAAATATAATATATAGTTTACTACTTCCTCTAGCCTTTTTAAAAAAAAATTAAAAAGTATTTATAATGCAATTCTTTTCATGTCTATATAATAAATGAATATTCTTGAAAATGTAGTTAAATTCACATAATTTGAATCTCGAACAGCTAAAATCACTTGAGACGGAGAGCGTATTTAATATCTTTATCACAATTATTTTATCTAATTACAAATTATCATAAGAACTATTTAATAACAAATTAATAATAATATCATTGCTAAATTTTTACATTTTTACTGTGATGGAAAGAAGGAAACATAAAGAAAAAAAGATGATACAAAAAGTAAAATTGCTATGGTCCCCCGATTAGAGGCGGGCCCACCTTGGTACAAGGGTTCATTCGAACACTCTTCGATAGAAAATTATACTATTTATATATGGTTAAAATAATATTTTATGTATACATAGTAGATGTTGAATCCTGTCGACTACTCCGTATGCTTATTTTTACGAATTTTGAACCCCTGATTAAAATTTTGACTTCACCACTGCACCGATGACTATGAGTTATTTTGTCGGTATTTAAAACACATAAAAAATGTGTTATAATTGTAAGTATTTATTATATCCATATATTGCTCCAAATTATTGTGCCTTCCAATTTATTAAATTGCATGTGAATCGCATATACCAACCACGCATTTACTCTTTAGATATGTTTGATGTTTTATTAGTTACGTAATTGACGAAATTGTATCTTCTTTAGTATTTTTATAAGAAACTAATATGATGATTTTCTTAAAACCAAAAAAAATGATGATGAATTTGGGTAAAATTTTTTTTATATATGTACAAGGACTAGAATGGAGCAACCCTCAAACATAATGATCAAACATTTGTGTGAAAAAACATATAGTATTTAGATTTTATGAATTATATTTTAGATTTTTTTGAAATCGATCATTGTGAATTTATTTTGAAAACTTTGTAAGGAAATGGAAAAGGTCATATTTATCTCTATTTTATATAGAGTAATTTTATCCTTCGTTTGAAAAAGTTATGACTTATAACTCCATCGTTGGTGTAATGTTTCAAACGTAATATGTGGGATTGTTTACAAATATCTTCTAGAATTATGAATTTTTTTTTAATGGAGACTATTAAAAAATAACATAGAAGATCTTGTTATGCTTTACTTTTTTTTAGTTTTTTATTTGATATTCAATATCCACTTTAGAGTAGATCAATTAATAGATAACCTTTTTTTATATATATTTATGTTCAAATTCAAAACTTCTAATTAAAGATAAATACATATTTATCTTTCCACACATATTTTTTGTTTACTTGATCCCTTAACCTTCTTAATTTATTCCAAAAAATTATAACACATTGTCACGTTTTATTTTTATTTTTGGGGTGTAGTGGGGTTGGGGGACTAATTTGTCAATTACAATTCAAATCTTAGCTATCGCACATTAATTAAATATATGGTCCCAAAGATGTTATAGTCAAAATCAGACAAATAAATTAAAATAATCAAAATAACGTAGTACCACATGTAAAAAGGAATTAATTAAGGAGAGGAGTACATGTAATTAAGCCACACTTATTTTTTCCATTATATATAGTAAGAGTACATGAAGAGATGCATTATAATGAACATACATGAACCCTAATTATTATTTTTTGACATATTGTGGCTGCTTAATTACTTCAATAATAAGGTCCATTAATTAAGTCACCACAGGCATTTGTACAACAAAGCCCAAGATGTTATCAAAAAGACGAACTCGATCACATAGATAATCTAATGTAATTGGAGAACCACTCAATAATATTGGAATATTAGTTATGGATGGATTTTCCTTCTCAATTATTTCCTTAGCAAGCTTTGTTGGTACACCAATAAGTTCTGGCCACATTTGTTTTCCTACATATACACATAATTAATTAATTATAATTAGAGAGAATAACATACTCTATATATGATATAATAATAGCAAATATCGAGTTGAATTGTGATATTTATTTTTTTTTAAAAATGGGAGTTGCAGAAGAGATTTTAAGGAAAAGAATCGAATGGTTATCAATAATGTAATATTTTGAATAATTAACTAAGTGAATTAATAAAAATTTCCAGAATTGAATAATTTACATCTTGTTTGGTCAAATCTTTAAAAAGTCAATAATGAGTTCTTATTTTAAAAAAAGAATATTCCAGAGAATTGAAGTGTTTAATCAAGCAATCAAAGAAAAAACAACAACTGTTTTAAATAGTAGAAAAACTGTTTTTTTGAGAAGCTAAAAAAACAAATTCCTTTAAAAGAACTTTACCTTCGCACATCAAGTTAGAGTCAAATTCCTTTAGAAGTTCTATGACTTCTGGCCCATCAATTTCTTTTCGTGCCATGAGAGTTTCAAAGGCTGTCAAAAAAAAATTCAATAGCAATTAGTGTATTTATCATTTCAAGCTAGATTATTAGAAAATTATAGTGCCTAAAAATCTCTGGCTCTAAGTAAGGGTAATCTAAACTGCGGCAGAGTCAATATTTTCACTAAGAGAGTCAATGTATACATTTTCACTAAGATAGTCAATATTTTCACTAAATAATGTAATTTTCTAGTAAAGGGATGTCAATCTACAACTCATTGAACAAGTCGCTCTTCTGAACTTGCTTTGAGTTAGTCGCACTATATTTACAAGATCAAACAATTTTTTTTTATGTATATATAATATAAGGTAAATTCTTTGTGGAAGTCCCCCACCCCCACCCCCACCCCATATCACAAAATAAATATAAATCATTTACAATTCTAATAATATTCTTACAATGTTTTTATATATAGAGAGAGAAAGAGAGGTACTAACAAGTTGCAAGAAGAAAGAAAACAATGATGTGAGCAAACTTTGACTCCATTTTGTTTTAGTTGTAAAGAGTAGAAGGAATTGAGTGAATTTGTAAGAGTGCACCACACAAATTTATAGGCAAAGGTTGCCTTCATTGTAGTGAGATACTACGTACTAGTGGTGTCTAACAACCACACGTTGAACAATTTGAAGATAAAGGAAAAAAAATATCATGTTTTGATATACGAGAAGTGAGAGGGACAATGAAAATTGAATGGACGTGTAATGTGTGTGGAGGACACATATTACTACCATTAATCTCTATATTATGAATTGGATAAGGGCGAAGCGGGAGATTTGATTTTATAGTCGTTTATAAATATTTTTTTTTAGTTTTATAGGTTTTTTATAATTTTATTTTGTGTGATATTGTTAGAAAATAACATAGAAGATTTATAAATATATAAAATACTTGTAGGATTTGTAAGCTCATTTTTTTAAGAAAATTGAAGATATAAGTGGATTTAGATAGGGGTATGTATCAGTCGATTCAGTTTGATTTTATGTATTATCAATTTGAATTATTAATTTTTTATTTTTAAATATGTTAAATCAACAAGACATTTTTTATCGATTTTTGATCTATTGATCGGTTTTGGTCTTAAACTATTCAGTTTTTTGTCCTTCATTGTAGTGAGGTACTACATATTAATTGTGTCTAACAACCAGATGTTGAACAATTTGAAGATAAGGAAAAAAAATATGTTTATGTTTTGAAGTGAATTCACGTGCAGTTTCAAAGAAAGTACAGAAATTGTTCATGTTTTATGGTCTCGAAGATGTTAAAGTCTCAAAGAGGAAGATATCGAGTGGTTGATTTCCAAATTCATATGAACTCAGTACTTTAAGGATAGCTCTCATCCGAACATATATACATTTTACCAGTAAGAAAGAACAAATACAGATTGGTAAAATAACAAGAAGAAGAAAAAAGATATAGAGAAGTAGTAATTATACAAACTAGTTTTCAAATCGTATAGATTCTTGATATTTTTGTGCAAAAGGAACATATATATATATATATATATATATATATATAGAGGATAGATATAGATATAGATATATATGTATGTATTTATATATATATGGTATATATGTATGTGTGTATATATATATATATATATAAATTTGTTTTTACTTGATTTTCATGCTCTATGATTTTTGTATGCTAATTTAAAGGTAAATAGTATTTCATTTATCTCAATGTGTTTATGTGGCAACATTAGATATAAATATTTAATTTTTTAAAATGATATTTATATATTTTGAAAACTACAACAACGAAAAAGTAGTATGATTCATCAGAAATTCATTTCCTCATAAGACAATACGAATCTAATGCCGCAAAATTTAAGCTAATACAACCTCCACAAATTTGTTTCCTTTGCCAAATGCCAACCAAAGATTATTTTACTCTCTCATCTCATTTTCTAAATTGAGATTTAAATAAAATTTTAATTTAATTGTAATTCTTTTATATACTTTTTGAAATATTTAGAATTATTAATTATAGGGTATTATATTTATTCCGATAATTTTGAATTATTAAAAAATTCATGGGCTTTTTAAATTAAGAAACTTATAGAAATTTCACTAGTTAGGAGCTCATTACTTAGATACACGTTAGTTTGTAATATTAAGAATTTTATCGAGTTTCGGTGCTTCTAATTCTGTATCTCGAATACATGAGTTGGAATATTATCTTTATACATTCAACTAAATATTATCCTTTATATTTTAACATGTTATAATTATACTAAAGCCCTTAATAGTATTTTAGCTTACTAATCTAGCTATCTTTATGAATGATTGTTAGTTGTCTTTTAAATATCATGCTTATAGTGTAACAATTCTTCTGTGTTGTTATTTATAGTTTATTTCTCATTTCAAGTTAGATCGTCATATACGATATGCTTAAAAATCTCTAATACAAGCAATAGTAGAATTAAGGAGATTCGTCTCAACTGAGGCGTAGCTAATTACATGTTGCAAGAGAGAAAGAAAAGAATGATGTGAGCAAGCTTTGAATCCATTTTCTTTTTGGTTCTAATGAGTAGAAGGAATTCACAAACACATGTTATGTTTTGATATATATTTTTTAATCGTATACGAGAAGTGAGGGGAGACAGTAAAAATTGAATTCCCGTATAATGTAGTTTATATTAATAGGTGCTTGATATGGATATATTGTGTACCTTATTATTATGCCTTTCAACTATGCATGCATTTACATACTCTATATATATGTTTACAATTTTCGCTCAATTATTTTCTTCTCTCCAAAATAAGTATTATTTAAGTAAAATTCATGTTTATTCTTCAAAATGCAAGTTAAAGTTTGTATAATTTGAATTTCGAAATATAACTTGATACGGAAAACATATTTGGTAACTTACGACAATTAATGATCACCATTTGAGTTAAAACATATTTAGAATTTATAAATTATATTTGCGATTTTTTGATCAATTAAAAGTGGGCCTATTTTGTAAAATTTATAAGGAAATAAAAAAGGATCAAATATATCTCTATTTTATTTAAAAAGTTTTGGACTCATAACTCTATCGTACTCAAATAATTCAAATATGAAATTATTGGCTAACGACCCCAATTCCCTTTTGGAGATTTTATTCTCCTTTTCGAAAAAAACACAACTAAATTAAATAGTACTATTTAATTTTACGTATTTATTTTTATTCGCTCTTCCATATTCGTTGATACATTGAAATAATTTTTAAATAATATATACATCGATGATATTGATTTTCTCAAAATTATATTCATTGATACATGTTTGACAATTTACAGATAAGGGACAAAATGTTTTTGTTCCTTTAAAGCCACAAATTAGGAAAATACTTTTTTTTAGTTTATTATTCGATATTTAATATATGTTTTGAAGTTTAATTAATAAAGAATTTTTTTTATATTTATTTCAAATCTTAAAGCTTTAATTAAAAATGGATACCTACTTTATCTTTCCTCACCAATAATGATATTTTTGTTTACTATTAATCCCCCAACCTTCTTAATTTGTTCCAAAGAGATTATAATTGTCACGTTTCATTTTTATTTTTGGGGTATAATGGGGGTGGGCATTAGTTTAACAATTGCAAAAACCCTATATTTTAAGGATGTTTTATGAGAATCCGATAATTTGATTTAATAATATCAAGTTAAAACCAATCAAACAAACTAAAACAGAAAAAGTAATAAACAATATGTAAAAAGGAATTAATTAAGGAGAGGAGTACATATAATTAAGCAACACTTATTTATTCCATTATATATATAGTAAGAGTACATGGAGATATTATAATCAACATGGACCCTAATTATTATTTTTTAACATGTGGCTGCTTAATTACTTCAATAATAAGGTCCATTAATTAAGTCACTGTAGGAATTTGTACAACATAACCCAAAATGTTATCAAAAAGACGAACTCGATCACATCGAAAATCCATTGTGACTGGAGAACCATTCAATAATATTGGAATATCAGATATGGATGGATTTTCCTTCTCAATTATTTCCTTAGCAAGCTTTGCTGGAACACCAATAAGTTCTGGCCAGAATTGTTTTCCTATACATACACAAAATAATTGATTATAATGAGAAAAAGAATAATATACTCTATATGTGTTATAACAATAACAAATATGGAGTTGATATTAAAGTTCGTAACCAAGAGGTCTGTCTGCTCTGATACCATATTAAAGTGTATAAACATTTCATTTAAAAGTTTAAGTTATTAGAGAGAGAGAGCACACCTTTTGTTAATTAGATCATATTTACTTTTAATAAAAGTTGGGAGTAGGGGAAGGAAAAAATTTCGGGAAGAGATTTCAAGATAGAGAATCGAATCTTTATTACAAATAACATAAAATTTAGGTAATCAACCAACTAAACTATTAAAATTTCTCGAGAATTGAATTATCTACATCTTGTTTTGCCATTCTTATTTCTTTTTTTTAAAAAAAAAATATTTTGAAGCATTGAATCATTTGATCAAGCATATAAGCAAAAAAACAAGCATTTTTAATAGTAGCAAAAGTTGATTATTTTTTAGAAGCTAAAAAAAAAGTAATCCTTTAAAGGAATTTTACCTTTGCACCAAAATTCGGATTCAAATTCTTTTAGAAGTTTTATGACTTCTGGTCCATCACTTTCTTTTCGTGCCATGAGAGTTTTAAAAGCTGTCAGAAAAAAACATTTCAATAGCAATTAGTGAGAATATTATCTTTATAAATTCAACTAAATATTATTCGTTATATTTTAACAAGTTATAATTATAGTGAACTCTTTAATAATTTTAGCTTATTAATCTATCTTTTACGAATGATTGTTTTTAGTTACTCTTTTAAGTATCATGCTAATAGTGTAACGTTTTTTTACCTTATTAATTATAGTGCATTTTCTCATTTCAAGTTAGATCGTCAAAAATTTACGATACACTTAGAAATATCTGGGCACAAGCAAAGGTAAAAGAAGATTCATCAGAACTGAGGAGGATCTTATATTTTCTCTAAGAGAGTCAATATATGTAATGAATTTTTTCCAGCAAAGGATTCTCAATAGACAAGTCATTGAACAAGTCGCTCATTTGAACCTCCTTTTCCGCTCAATTACATTATATTTACAAGATCATAATTTTTTTATAATGTATATATAGTATACGATCAACCCTTTGTAAAAGTTCTTTCTCCCTCACCGCAAAAGAAATATAAATCATTTACAACTCTTGTATGTGTGTATATGTATATAATATGTAGAGAGAGAAAGAGAGAGGTACTAACAAGTTGCAAGAAGAAAGAAAACAATGATGTGAGCAAGCTTTGAATCCATTTTCTTTTTAGTTCTAATGAGTAGAAGGAATTTAGTGAATTTGTATAAGTTGTATCACATTAATTTATAGGCAGAGGTTGCCTTCATTGTAGTGAGGTGCTAGTGGTGTATAACAACCACATGTTATGTTTTGATATATATTTTTTAATCATATACAAGAAGTGAGGGGAGACTGTGAAAATTGAATTTTCGTATAATGTAGTTTATAATAATAGGTACTTGATATTGATAGATTGTGTACCTAATTATTATGTCTTTCAATAATGCATGTATTTACATACTCTTTATATATGTTTACAATTTTCGCTCAATTATTTTCTTCTCTCCAAAATAAGTATTATTTAAGTAAAAATCATGTTTATTCTTCAAAATGCAAGTTAAAGTTTGTATAATTTGAATTTCGAATAGCTAAATATCACTTGAGACGGAAAGCACAATTAGCTCTTATTTCATCTAATGATGAATTATAATAAGAAATATTTATTATGAGCTATTTATTAAAAAATTTATAATAATTTCACAGCTAATTTTTATTATCATTGTGATGGAAGGAAGGAAACATAAAGAAAAAACTAAAATAGAAATGATACCAAAAGTAAAATTGTTATGGTCCCTTAATGACATGTTTTAATTTATGAGTTAATTTGTCAGTATATAAAACACTTAAAAAATGTGTTACAATTGTAAGTATTTTTTATATTGATTTATTGCTCCCAAGTATTCTGCCTTTCAATTTATTTAGCTGCATGTGAATCCAATATACCAACCATGCATTTATTCTGCAGATATCTATGAAATTTTATCACGGAAAAAGGCCTAAAATATCCTTACAGTGTTAGAAATGGTATAAAATTATCTTTCATTCACTTATTGGCTCTAATATACTCTTTTCACCCACCTATTGACTCCAAATTACCATTGTCATCCACCTTTAGGTTCAAAATTGACCAATTGTTTAACGATTTTAAATTTAAAATATTTAAATATTTTTAAAAATACTTAACGCTCAACTACATGATATAATTTAATTTATTAATATCATTTATAAACCAACCCACTACCCATTACAAATTAAGCCCCACCCAATTAATAAACCATTTTTAATATCTAAATCGGCCTAAACACTACTAAAGCACGACGAAATTACCGATTTCTTAAAATAACATTCAAAATTATTTGAGTACGAATCAAAGCCCCAATTAAATTTAGGTTGAACCGCTTATTTAGGAGGACTCTTGAATTCAAAATTTATGATTAAAGGTAAAAAAGTAGCACCTCTCGAATTAATTCATGGACTTCTTTTAATATAATTTAATAAATATTTATTCTTTATTTTTATATATTAAAACTTCAATATATTCTTTTTTTTTAAAAAGGGTTTCTATTAAGTAACAACATCACATAATTGAGGCGAATAAATAATTAAGATGAACATAATCACACTTTTATGTCTATCGGTAATTTTTATTTAGGCACTTGAATTATAATATGTTTTGATTGAGGACTTGATTGTATGATAATTCATTTCTATAGACATTTTCGACTTAAATTTTTAGAAACACTCATTGGTAGTAGCTTTCCTGTTGTGCATTAGTAATGAGATGAATCTATTAATTGGGTGTTGTTTTGAGTAATGGGTGGGTGGTAGATTAGTTAATAAATTATATTAAAAAGTTAAATTACAACAAATAGTTAAATGCCGTGCATTAAAAAAAATATTTACATAGTTTAAATTTAAAATAGTTAAATAAGTGGTTAATTTTGAAACCAAAGGTGGATGAGAATGGGTATTTTGGAGCCAATAGGTGTATGAGAAGGGTATTTTGGAGCCAATAGGTGAATGAGAAGGGTATTTTGGAGCTAATAGGTGGATGGAGGGTAATTTTATACTATTTCTGATACTTTAGGAGTATTTTAAGCCATTTTCCAATTTTATTATGTAACTGAAAAAATTATTTCTTCTTTTGTATTTTTATAATAAATTAATAAGAGGAATTTTTTTTAAACCAAAAAAATAAAAAGGAATTTGGTAAAAAATATATTTGTATTTTTATATATACAAGGACTAGAATAGAACAATCCTCAAACTTAATGTTACCATTTGAGTTAAAAAATAATTAGAATTTATAAATTATATTCTAGATTTTTTTGGTACCGACCAAAACTAGGCATGTTTTGTAAAATTTTAACGACCCCAATTCCTATTTGGAGGTTTATTCTCCTTTTTTTTAAAAACACAACCAAATTAAATAGTATCATTTAATTTCTCTATTTATTTTTATTTGTTTATCCATATCCGTTGATACATTGAAATAATTTTTGAATGATACATACATCGATGAAATTGATTTTCTCAATATTGTATTAATTGATACATATTTGACAACATGCAGATAAGGGACAAAATGGTTTTTTTCCTTTCAAGCCACTAATTAGGACAAGACTTTTTTTTTAAAGTTTATTATTCGATATTTAATATATGTTTTGAAGTTCAATTAATAATGAAGTTTTTTTTTATATTTAGCTCTAATTAAAGATGGATACATACTTATCTTTTCTCACCTTTAATGATATTTTTGTTTACTATTAATCCACCAACCTTAATTTGTTCCAAAGAGATTATAACACATTGTCACGTTTCATTTTTATTTTTAGGGTATAGTGGGGGTGAGGGACTAGTTTAATAATTGCAATTCAATTCCCAGCTACCACGCATTAATTGAATATATGGTCCCAAAGATGTTAAAAGTCTTAAAGAGAGATGTATAGCGATTGCTTTTTAATTTGAAATGATGAGAACCCTATATTGTAAGGATGTTTATGAGAATCTGATAATTTGATTTTATGATATCAAGTTAAAATCAAATAAATATACGTTAGATCTGCCTGAGTTATTAAGCCACGTTTTATTTATTCCATTATATATATAGTAAGAGTACATGGAGACATTATAATCAACATGAACCCTAATTATTTTTAATATGTGGCTGCTTAATTACTTCAATAATCCAATAATTTAAGTCACTCTGGGAATTTGTACAACATCACCCAAAATGTTAACAAAAAGACGAACTCGATCACATCGAAAATCCTTTGTGACTGGAGAACCATTCAATAATATTGGAATATTAGCTATGGATGGATTTTCCTTCTCAATTATTCCCTTAGCATATTGTGCTGGTACACCAATAAGTTCTGGCCAAAATTGTTTTCCTACACATATACATAATAATTGATTATAATGAGAAAAAGAATAATATATACTCTATATGTGTTATAATAATAGCAAATATGGAGTTGATATTAAGTTCGTAACCAAGAGGTATGCCTGCTCTGATACCATATTCAAGTGTATAAACATTTCATCTAAAAGTTTAAGTTATTAGAGAGAGCACCTTTTATTAATTAATCATATTTACTTTTAATAAAAGTTGGGAGTAGGGGAAGGAAAAATAATTTGGGGGAAGAGATTTCAAGGTGGAGAATCACATCCTTATTATCAATAACGTAAAATTTAGATAATCAACCAACTAGACTATTGAAATTTCTCAAGAATTTAATGATCTACGTCTTGTTTTTCCATTGTTATTTTAAAATTTTTTATTTTAATGCATTGAATCATTTGATCAAGCATTTAAGCAAAAAAAACAAGCATTTTTAAAAGTAGCAAAAATTGATAATTTTTGAGAAGCTAAAAAAAGTAATCCTTTAAAGGAATTTTACCTTTGCACCAAGATGCGGATTCAAATTCTTTTAGAAGTTTTATGACTTCTGGTCCATCACTTTCTTTTCGTGCCATGAGAGTTTCAAAAGCTGTCAGAAAAAAACATTTCAATAGCAGTTAGTAAAATATCATCTTTATAAATTCAACTAAATATTATTCATTATATTTTAACATGTTATAATTATAGTGAACTCCTTAATAATTTTAGCTTATTAATCTATCTTTTACGAATGATTGTTTTTAGTTGCTCTTTTTGAGTATCGTGCTAATAATGTAATATTTTTTTACCTTATTATTTATAGTGCATTTTCTCATTTCAATTTAGATCGTCAAAAAATTACGATACATTTAGAAATATCTGGGCACAAGCAAAGGTAAAGTCAATATATATAATGAATTTTTTCCGGCAAAGGAGTGTCAATAGACAAGTCATTGAACAAGTCGCTCATTTAAACCTCCTTTTCCGCTCAGTTACATTATATTTACAAGATCATAACTTTTTTATAATGTAAAATATAGATCATAACTTTTTTATAATGTAAAATATAGTATACGATCAAACCCTTTGTAAAGTTTTCTCCCTCACCGGCCCACCCACTCATACCGCAAAAGAAATATAAATCATTTACAACTCTAATAATATTCTTGTATGTGTGTGTATAATATGTAGAGAGAGAAAGAGAGGTACTAACAAAATGCAAGAAGAAAGAACAGAATGATGTGAGCAAACTTTGCCTCCATTTTGTTTTAGTTGTAAAGAGTAGAAGGAATTGAGTGAATTTGTATAAGTTGTATCACATTAATTTATAGGCATGTGGTGCCTTCATTGTAGTGAGGTGCTAGTGTATAACAACCACATGTTGAACAATTCGAAGATATGGAAAAAATTGTAATTTATTGTACTTTTTATATAGTTTTAGGATATCTATTTTTTTGTTTAAAATATCGAATTAATGTGATTTAATTTATCTTTAAAAATTAATTAAATTAATTTTCGATAAGCGCAACATAACAAACAATTACGAATGGAGGGAGTATATTTTTTTAAAGTTATATACGAAAAGTGAGGGGAGACCATGAAAATTGAACTTCATGTAATGTCGTTCATAATTATAGGTACTTGATATTGATATATTGTGTACCTAATTATTATGCTTTTCAACCATGCATGCATTTACATACTCTATATATGTTTACAATTTTTCTCAATTATTTTCTTCTCCCCAAAATAAGTATTATTTAAGTAAAATCATGTTTAAACTTCAAAATGCAAGTTAAAGTTTGCATAATTTGATTCTCGAATAGCTAAATATCACTTGAGACGGAAAGCACAACTAGCTCTTATTTCATCTAATGAT